CCAACTAAACTTTAACACGTGCATCACATGTGCACCACTAGTATACTAAAAAGTCTTAGTTAATTTAATGATTGTGGTGTTAATGAAAATTATTTGATGTTAAAAAGTAAATTTAAAAGTAAGTGTCCTCAAACAAAATTATAATTTAACTCCACATAAAAAATGTTTAATAACTTGCCATGTCTTAGGATTGGAACTTAATATTAAACAAAGTGAACAAGTACAGCAATGCAAAAATAAATCAATCTCCACATGTGTCATGCATAACTTGACGTGTGTGTGTGTGTGAAAATTCATGTCAACATATTAAGATCGTGATTAGTTCATACCTGACCCAAAGTAGTCAAATATTCCCTTACATCGCTCGAAAGGTACACATCCCCTCAAACTTATTCTTTTCACTCAATTTCCCCGGGGTGTGTTCCAAGTTGAACTTATTTGTCACTGTTCATTACCCTCTCTTAGTTTGGATGTATCGTACTATCACAAGTTCACACTTCAACAAGTAGAGATTCTCCTATTTTTGATTACTTCGACCTTTGAGATTAAACTAAGTTACTTGCCTCGCGCTAGAGATATAGTTCTACCAACANTGAGATTAAACTAAGTTACTTGCATCGCACTAGAGATATAGTTCCATCAATCGGATGTCTGGGGTTAATCAATGCATTCCATACATAGAAGCATGTATATTATTCATCAATGGATATATTTTTTTCTTCTTTTTTTTTCATATATATGACATCTTCCATTTGCTTTCTATATAACCCCTGTAACAAGCTTTAGGCCGATGACTCCCAAGTTAGAAGACCATATGACACCAGGTTTTAAACCCTTGTAGGCTTAATCACTCAAGTTATATACGCTTGAACAGATATCTTTATTTATTCAATGATTAGTGCAATGCCCCTATTAGTTTATCCATCCAGTTTCTAAAACTAATCTCTAACTTAAAACTTTCACCTTGTTTTCATCTCATTGGTCTAAGAAAATCTACACAGAATATCATGCACGGATTCCCTACCAATCTCAATGCTACCTTGCAACAGTTCAATCACCTCCAAACTATTCTAAT